ATCAATACAAACTGCAGTTGAGACCAGATCTTCATACTTTGCTATTTGAATATTATAAACAACTGAGAGAACAGTGTCAATTACAGAATATTGTTTTCTATCTCTCATTTATTCACTGAATAAAAGAGAGTTATTAATAGAGCTTATAAAAGATAGTTAAGTAACTATTATCTTTTTCAAAATCTTTTCTAGACAGTTTAATAGAGATATTACTCTATATGACTTAGAAATTGAAGTTTTTCTCTTAGATTTTGTAAGAATTAAAACAGTGACTTCTCTCCAGTATTCAGAATAATATTCATTTTTCAAGAGATTGTAAAAGAGCTCAAAATATTCATTCTTTAAGTAGAAATATATATTTTGAATAATCAAGTGATTAATTGAATCAGGCTCTGTAGCAGTTTTAACAGAACTTGAGAAGATAGCTGACTCTAATTCATCTTGTGTAAGATCAGATCATTTCCAGTCATTTTCATCAATGTAGTTGAGAAGTGATATATTCTCTTTCTCTGAATTTGAATCTGAATCTGATGAGTTCTGAAAGAGAATTCTTATGAAAGCTTGACATTTTTCCTCAAAAGAGTTTACTGTATATGATTCATTCTGAAACTCATATTCTAAGACTGGAAGTTTTGCTACACTTCTTATTTTAGTATAGTTAAAAGCTTTAAAAACTTCCTTCTCTTATACTTCTTCAAGAAATTTATTTCAGCAGTCTGTTTTAGCTCTTTTAATATCTGAAAAATATTCATTTCTGACAGTATTGAACTCTTCATCAGATATTATATCATTCTTTCAATCTCTTCTAGCAGTAGCTAATTCTTTTCTTTTAGATGAGATATTCTTATTTCATCAAGATTTTAAATACTCAGAAGATTTTCTCTTTAAAATATTATCTCTAACACTTGTTAGAATAATAGATGTAATAAGCTTCACTCTATTCTCAAGCATTTCATTTGAGATATCTTGATCAGAATTTCAATATAGCTTATTCTGTCTTTCAGATTTTAACAGTTTTATACTTTCTTCAACTGCTTTTCAATCAGCTTTTTCAAAGTTAAACTGATTAGAGAGAAGAGGATTTTCACTCATTTGTTTTTCACTCAGTTCAATATTAAATTAAATAATCTCATGATCTGATTCTGATGTCTTATTCAAATCAATAAATCAGTTTAGAAGTCTTCTTTTTATTAGATTTTATGATATGAAGATTACATCTATAATAGATTTCTGTTTCATATCTTTTCTAAAGAATGTTTGTTGATCAGACTTATTAATCAAATCTATTAAATGCTTAAAGATTTATTCAATCAGATTATCAGCTCTCACTGCTCTCTTACATTCTGAATTTCATCAGAAATGAGGTGCATTGAAATCTTCTACAATTATAGAGTTTCTTGATGAAGTTATATTCAGAAATCCTCTATTAATTATTCAGATATTGTTATTTTTCTTCAATGACTTTTTATTATTGATATTTATGAGCTGTATAGTATCAAACTCATTTTCTTTATTTATAATATTACTCACCAGAATATCAGAGTTAGACATGATATCAAATCTTAGATTAAATTAATATCTTGATCTCTTTCTTTCATAGATTACTACTCTTGACTTTATCTCAGACTTTTGAGATAAAAAGCAGTATTAGCTTGAATAAGAAATGATATAATTTTACTCAGTATTAAAATTCAGTTCCTGAAGTAGTATAAAATCAATGTTTTATTCAAATATAATTTGAAGATAAGAATAAATACAATTGAAGTTTCTATTCACATTATTTTAAATAAATGTGATTTTTGAAGAGTTTTTAAACTTTTTTTATTGTTTTTATTGTATATTCATACTAAAAGAGAGTAGAGATAGAGTAGAATCTAGTCACTATTATCAGACAGTAGATTATAACTATTTTGAAAAGTAGAGATCTCCACTGCTTGCATTATATCTAGTATATCATCAGAGTCATTTCTCAATTCTCTAATCTTAACAGAAGTTTAAGAATTCAAATTCTGTTTACATTTAGCTGAAGAATTGAAGTTTGAAGATTTAGATAGTTGAGAGTTTCTTCTTTTTAAGCTTGCAGTTGTAAGTCTACTAGCTTGACTCTTCTCTTCAGTTCTAGATTGACTTTGAGCTTTATCTTTTCTTCAGTTCTTTTGAGTTCTAGAAGTAAATATACATTCTTTTGAGCTAGATGTATATTTTTCTTTGCAATTAGAGTACTTAAGCAGAGTGTGTTGATATATTTTATCTCTTTTTGAGCATGTTTTACATTTATGCTCACTAGTTTTGTGATCTCTGGTGCAGAATGCATATTTTGAGTCTCTAAAACATGAGATTACAAAGTGTTTATATCTTTGACAGTTTGAACACTGTGTTTGAGCTTTGAGATTCATTCTTGAGTCTTTGTATTTATAAACTCTCATTTTCAAATCTGCTACTCTTACTTCAGAGATCTTTGACTGTTCAAGTGTTTTTATATATACTAGAACAGAGGCATTTCTTCTGTTTTATCTGAACTCAATTGAATTTAGTTATACAGACTTCTTTCTCAGTTGAATAGAGTTGTATTCTTTCAATTCATTTTTAAGAAGTAGCATTTCTTCTTCACAGTCAAAAATTTCAACTGAAATATTATAAAGAATGAATTTATCTTACTTTTCATCTCTTTCAGATAGAATTATTATGTTTAGTAAAGATTCTACTGCTGACTTTCAGAGATTCTCATTCTGAATAAGGAATTCAGCACTGAATTCAGACATTGTAGTCAGAATGATGAAGTTTTCAAAGAATAATGACTCAATTGAAGCTAGACTGGCCGCCGGGATCATGAATTTCACATTTGGTCCCATTTGGTCTGGTCCCATACATTTCTTAGCGTGAATCCCGCTGGGACTGGCTATCAAAAAAACAGGTAAAGTGACTATATATCAGATCTTAAAATGGAACCATGACTTGAAAAAAATGAGAAAGTGATCTCATTTGGTCCCATTTAGTCCCATTCTTGGCATAAAGTTACTATTTTTAGACATTTTAAGGTTTTTTTTAGACTATTTTTAATTTTTTAAAAAGTAACGCTTTTTGGTAATGCTTAAATGAGATTTAAAGTCATTTAAAGCAATAAAAATAATTTAAATTGAGAAGTGGAAATCATGGTCCCATTTGGAAAATGTGACAAGAGTAGACAGTAAGTCCCACTGGGACAGTATGAGACTACTATCTAATGTTAAAACCGTGTAATGGGATCAGTCGAATTGGTAATGGGACTATCAAAAAATCTGGTCCTGGTCCCAGACACGGTCACACGGTCAGTCTAATTGAAGCTATAACTGATTTTTAAACTTCAATATCAGTCATCAACTGAGAAAAGAACTGCTGATTAATTTCATTTCTGATTCTGAAAATGAGATTTGAGTTTAACTTATTTCCTTGCAGAATGTTCTGATTTGAGACTTTGAGAATAAGTCTTCTATTTCTGAAGATTTGAAAGTTTTTCTCTTTTTACATTTTCTTTTTCACTTTTCTATGAATAGAGGTATGAGCAGTATTCTTCTCAGTTTTCTCAGGATTTTGAGCAGGTTTTGAGACAGCAGGTTTAGAGACAGTAGATTCAGCTGCTTGAGCATATGTTTTCTTCTGATTCAAAGAAGAAGAAGAAGTAGGAAAAAAAGAAGAAGAGTAAGATGAAGAGTCAGTTATTGTACTAGGAATTTTCAATGTTTTTTAAACTGTGTTTGAGAATTCAAGTTTAAACTTGATCATCTTCTGTAGTTGTCTAGCCTGAGTATGAAGAATTAACAGAACTTCTTCATTCATCTCACTCAGACACTGCTTTTCAAGAATCTTGCTTACTTTTTCAAGTTTCTGTATTTCAAGAACTTGTTATTTCTCTATTTCTTCTTTCTTTCTTCTTTTCAGAATTTCAATCTCAGGAATAGCATTTGAGAAAGCATCTTTTTTCACATTAACTGAGTGTATTTTTGAACTCATTATTCTCACTCAATGAAAAGTTGATTAAACTGTTTCAATTGAGATATTTCTAAGTCTGTTTTTAATTGAAAAGTTAATCAGACTATTTCAAAAGAAGAATAAAGAACTTTTGTGTATAAAATATCTGATTTTTTTCACACTAGTTCAGTAACTAGATTAGATTTTTGAAGAGAATCTAATAAACTAAAATTGATTTTTGAGATAAATTAATAAAATCTTTACAATCTCTTTCTTGAGATACAGTGAGAAAGAGTATAATATCAATTAATAATAAATCAGATGATATGACAGTTTTTAAGAGAAAAACTGATAAAAAATAAATCAATTTTTTACAGAGAAATTGATTAAAACTATTCAATTTTATTCTAAATCATTCAATTCTTCTCACATAACAAGTGTGCAACTCAAATCAGTTAATAAAGAGTGTAAAAAAGAATTAAGTATTAATGAAAGCTCTTCAGTCACTGAAAAAGTAATTCTTACTTAAAAGAATATGAAATTATCACAGAAAACAGCTCTGTTTTTTATTCTTTGTAAGAATATTGTATAAAACTCAGAGAAAAACATCTTACTTTTTCAAGAGAAGTAAAAAACTATTTCTAAGATCTTTTTTTTTGCATTAACTGCTATAGAAGAATAAGATAGAAACTGCTAAGATATACACTACTGTATACTATCTATCAAGACTTTCTCTCTTCAGAGTTTTCATATTATAGAGAATATAAGTCTGTTTCTATATAATAATACAAATATTGTCAGCAGAATGTAGAGAAACTGATTATTTATATCTCAAAATAGAAGACTTTGTCAATGATTATATCAATATAGAGTTAATTTTCAAATTCAATAGAAATCTAGTGTTGCTGTTCTCAATCTCTTGCAGAATCTATTGAATATTAAGATATTAAAACTAGATTTAATATATCTCACTGTGCAGGGATCAAAGGCTCAGTCAGATCTTGAAGTATACTGATTTTATAGTTGTTGATGTGCTGTTGACTCATTGTTCACTGATTATGTATTGAATGCTGTTGTCAAGGTATCTTTTTGTATCATTCTGCTGGGGATGGGCCAGATTGAGAGGGGTAGTACAAGGGTGAGACTTGGTGTTGAAGTCTAGATACACTGATGACAGACTGTGAAGATTGCACTTCAGAAGTGTTCATTGATTATGTGCTTGATATTATCACTGAGGTATCTTTTTGTATTTTTCTGCTGAGGATGGGCCAGATTGGGAAGGGCGATACAAGGGTGAGACTTGGTGTTGATGTTTTGAAATATCAAAGGTGGACAGGGTCTTCGCGGAGATCACTTCTCAGATATCTCCACAATTACAGATCGGGGATCTCCCAAAATCAAGAAGATTGGCGCATATGGCTATATCTCTTCACCTTACAATTTGTATGGCACTTTGGCCCGGGGTTGTGGTGTGGTAGGGATGAACAGGGGATAATCCCACACGGGAGTTTCGAACAACATCTAGTTCACGTTTGGCTGGATATCTCCACCACCACACGGGGTATGCGGTCGGCCATGGGGTCCAAATGCTCGTATGATCGAGGGCTTTTCGATGGATCTATCGGCGGGTTCTTATTCGAAAAATCGAGCGAGTTCGTGGTGGGGCGGTTGACTGATCACTGATTCTCAGCTGCTATGAACGCGTGTATATTCTTCCACTCTGAAGCTTCACTGCATACATCATCACATATGTGTATAAATATCCATCTTAATCATCAATTCTTGCACTTTCTCTTTCTTTCCTTCTCTAATGTTTTTATCTTTGTTACATAAGATCTATAATATTATATCAATCTATTCAGTATAGATCTCTTACACTATAAAAATATTCATCATCTTCTTATTAGAAAATGATTATTCATGCATCATCTTCTTATCAGAAATGATTACTCATTGAGAGATATCTGAACATGTAATGACATGTAAGAAAGAGAAACACAGTTAAGTGAACACTAAGTCTTCAGATAGAAGCTTACTCATTAGTCACTCTGATTTCACAACAAGATCTTATAAAGAGAGTAGAATTTTACAAGAGAATATCAGTGAAAGATCTGAGAGTTCTAACACTCAGATGTATAAGATATTCATACAATTACATATTCAACAATTGATATAATCATGTCTAACAATAATATGAAACTCTCAAATGCAAGTATAGATATGATGCTATAGTAACTCTGAGTAATGTTGAAATTACAATAACAATAAATAGCTGATATGCATGCAACTTAACAACTTCAATATGAAGAGATTCAATAATTAACTCATGCAATTTCAACATCTACAGAATCAAATACAAAAGTGCTGAAGAAATGCTTAGATGCTTTCATATATTTCAATGCTTTTAATCTCACTCTCTACTCAGAATGAAGATTGAAAATGCTTATAAAACTGAGTGTAGATGAAGATTTCATCAGTTCATTAATCAATCAAGACTGATATATCAATGAACAATTGAAGAATCACATGAAACAGAAGTTTCATTCATGAATGAAAGCATGTGAATCAGTGTTGCAAATATCTAACAATATTATCAAATATCTTGATATTCTGTTCTGAGACACTATCATGCAACAGAAAGTATTAGATTGATTACAGAGTGTAAGAGGCCTGCACCGAATAGATCGGTATAATATTATAGGTCTTATATAACAAAGATAAAAACATTAGAGAAGGAAAGAAAGAGAAAGTGCGAGAATCAGTGATTGAGATGGATATTTATATGTGTATGTGGTGGTGTATGTGGTGGAGCTTCAGGGCGGAAGAATATACGCGCGTTCATAGCAGTTGAGGATCAGTGATTAGGAATGGCTGAGAATTGGAGTGTACGCTACACACGTTCATAGCAGCCGTGGATCAGTGATCAGAAGTGGCCAAGAATTGGAGTGTATGCTACGCGCGTTTGTAGCGGCCGTGGATCAGTGATTGGGAATGGAAGAATCTATGGAGTGTAATGGAATAGTCTATATGATTGATTGGGCACAGCCCGTCACATTAGCCCCCCCTTTCCAGAAGCAGTTCCCATCAGTCAAGGGCTGCTGTTTCAGATAACACAGAACTCAGAGTCCAGGTTGGTTGATTGTAGCTGACCCATTTCACCAGATATTGTTGGCCGCGGCCGTGGGATCTCTCATCGAGGATATCTTCAATCTCTCACTCAAGCTCATTATCTTCTCCTATGATGCCTGGCGGCTGCCAGTCAGAAGTCAGCTGAGAAGGGAATGGATCAGTGACAGCGCGGCGGAGCAAGCTCATGTGGAATACATCATGAATCCCTGGTGGTGTGTCAAGGTGGTAGTTGTGGCTATCTAGGACTTCTATCACTTTATACCTGGTGTGGCGGTAGTCTAGCGTATGAGATGGACATGTGATTCATATGTTCTTGAGGTTCAATCACACAAGGTCTCCTATCTTATACTGCTCTGTGGGATCTTGTCAGATGTTGATTTGATCTTCTTGGTCTTGTTTCACGGTTGCCATGGAGGCCTCTGCCCAGTCACGGGCATCTCAGAGCTTTGTTACTATATTATCAGCAATCTGGATCAGACTGCAGGGGTTCAGTGTGCACTGTGTGGTCTCTAGAAGGTTCAACACTTTCATGTGATACCTGTGTGTAAGGAAGAACAGGCTTACACCTGTTGAAATGGCATCTCAACTGTTGATAGCAACCTCTGCATGTAGAAGGAGATCATGCCAATCATCTTGTGAGTGGTTGCAGAACTTATGAAGATAATTCTTTACAGTCTGAATTGTCCATTCTGATGCATCATCAGTCTCAGGGTGATAGGCAGTTGACAGACAGTGTGTAATCTTGAGAACTTGACAGATTCTTGTCCAGAGAGCACTCACAAATTGGCAGCCCTGATCTGATACTATTGATCTCAGCAATCCATGCATCTGATAGAATGAACTCTGTAAGAAGGCTTCAGTGACTTGTTCAGTGTTCATCTTGTTACAAGATTCCAATATTACATCCTTACTTAGTCAGTCAACAATGACCAGGATGTTCCTGCAGCTCTTGCTCTCAGGTAGGTCAACAGTGAAGTCAATTGCTACATCTCACCAGATTCTATCAGAGACATTGAGTGGTTTCAGTAGACCTTTTCTACAGTTCTTTCATGAGGTAACAGAAGAACAGTAATTGCAGTTTCAGATAAAGTGTCTGATACTGTTTGATATCTCAGACCAGTAGAATTCTCAGGAGACCATTCTATACAGTTGTTCACAGCCTGGATGGCCAGTCATACACAAATCATGCATCTCTTGCATTATCCGAGTGTGTAAGGGTTCAGAGTGAGGGACCCAGCATCATTCACAGAATTATAGGGTGTTATTGTCATTGATTGAGCATTCTGAGATATCAGTTCTGATATGTAGTTCTGGGGGAAATCAGGGTGCTTCTTGATATACTGCTTCAGTGAGGGTCTGAAGGAGTTCATCAGCCTGGGCTGCTGTATGCCATAGTTCATTCAGTGTAGAGAAAGTGAAGATATCAATGTCAGTTCTAATCAGAGAAGTATGTATGATGCTGTGAGCTGTTCTATCTTGATCAATTAATATCTTCAGGTCCAAGAGCCGGTGCTCTCAGTTCATCCAGCGAGTATCTGTTACATCAGATGGCATATCTTGCTCTCATTGTGAGAGGGCATCTGCCATCGAGTTCTGGCTGCCAGGACAGTAGTGTATTGTAAAATGAAAGCGGCTTAGGAACTCAGATCATTGTATCTGTCATTCAGTAAGTTTACAAGTAGTTGTGAAGTATTTGAGGTTCTTATGATCTGTGACTATCTCAAATTCAGAGATACTTCAGAGTTCAGAGTCTCATTCTTCTAAACAGCATACAATCATGAGGAGTTCCTTGTCATAGATCTCATAATTGCATTCAGTGAGACTCAGTTTCTTAGATATGAAGACACATGGTTGTAGAACATCTTCATCATCATATTGCAATATCACTCCTTCTGTCATGTAGTCAGAGGAATCAGCTTCAACAACTGTCTTGTGATCAGGATCAAATGTTATCAGCAGAGAAGCATTAATAAACATCTTCTTCATCTGTGTAAATGCAGCTTCAGTGTCCACTGATCATTGAAATACTGAGTCTTTCTTAGTGAGATCTGTAAGTGATCTTGTGATATCTGAGAAGTTTCATATAAATTGCTAATAGAAGTTAGCAAATCCAATGAAGCTTCGTACATCTTTCACAGTATGCAGAGCTTCTCATTCAAGAATGGCGGAGACTTTCTCAGGATTCATTCAAATCCCCTTGCCAGCTTCTATAATAAAACCCAGATACTTGGTACTCTTGACTTCAAAATCACACTTGTCAATATCTATCAGTAGTCCTGCTTCTCATAGCTGTTGTAATACCTTTTGCACATATTCTTGATGTTCTTTTCTGGATTCATCAGTGAAGATGAGGATGTCATCTAGATAAGCAGATACAAACTCATCAAGGAAATCTCAGAGCACCCAGTTGATATACTTCTGAAATGTACTGGGGGCATTAGCCAGTTCAAAGAGTGTGACTATTCATTCAAAGAGGTCATAACATGTTCAGAATGCTGTAAGCCATTCATCTCCTTCAGTGATATGAATCTTATGAAACACGGCAATGACATCTAGTTTTGTAAACCATTGAGCTCACCCGATCCGTGCTAGGGTTTCATTGATGAGAGATAAGGAATATCAATCTTTCTTTATCAATCTGTTCAGACCTCAGTAGTCCACACAGAATTGAAGTCCTCCACCTGGTTTCTTTGCGAAGAGGATAGGGGCTGCGGCAGAAGAGTTGCTAATGCATATGAATCCTTTATTCAACAGATCATTGAGTGTCTTTCAAAGAAGAAGGAGTTCATCTCAGGACATGCTATAAAGAGGGCCTCATGGCAGTTCAGGGTCCTTATCATCCTTTTTCTCTAACTTGATACTGTGATTCACTCTAGGACCTTGTAAGAGAGGTATATTTGTAATATTATCTTGTCAGAAGACATCTAGATATTTGTGATATTGTTGAGAGAGTTTTATATGAGAATCTGTTGTTGTAACATGGGATAACTTTTCTAGGGCCTTCTTGATATCAGCCAGACTGATGAAATAGATTGACACATGGTCTTGCTGTCAGTGACTCTGTCAGTGGTTTTGGTGATGACTTCTTTTTCAGAGTATTTCGTATGTGTTGACAGAGATCTGTGTCAGGTCCATGATCTTGTGAATGTCATTTTCATGGACTCTATCATTGTTAGGGAATATCAAGCTTCTGTTTCAAGCATTCAACAAGATGCCTTGTTCAGATAGCCAGGCAAGTCCTAACATAAGATCATAATCAAGATTATCAACTTCATACACATAGGCATCTTCACATTGATGTCCTTCTACATCTATAGTCAGCTTCACCATGTAACGGGTACAAATGTCTTTTGAACCATCAAATCCTGCGAGGAGTCGGGGTTTTGATAGAGGAATACACTGGAGATTATGATGTCTTACAACTGAAGATTTTATCATTGCATAGTGACATAGACCACTGTCTATCATGGCCTTCATATTATACATGTTATTAATCACAGTGAATATAAGAATTGCATTCATTGCCATCTTCTCTTCAAATCATTGTCATCCAACCTCTTCAAGCTTCTGTTTGCAAATTTGAACAGGAGCTAATCTTTTCCCTGTTTCACCAGGGCATTCTCATAGTTATCCTCTGAATCTTCCTCTAATGCAACATGGTTGGCGCGGACAGGCGCTGATCCATCCTTCAAATGAGGAGACACAAAGGTCAATCAGCAGTTGAAAGCAATGTGTCCTGGTCAGTTACAGTTAATGCACACTCTATATTGACATCAATCAGTGACTTCTTCAGGAGTGATTCCAGGGACTCAGAAGCCTGTTCAGACAGCAGAGACCCTTGCTTATGCATAGACATTCAAGTCTACTCAATCCATGGCATCTGCATCATTGTTATTCCTCAGCGCGGGTGTATGAGTCACTGGGATGTAATGTCTTCTGCCACTGTTCTGTATATTCTTGAGCTTGGTAAGACAGTCATCCATTGTCCAGAGCTGTGTGTAGAAGCCTTCATAAGTTGAGTCTTCATCTGTGCTTACAAGGGCCTGTAAGAGTTTGAAAGTCAATGTCTTCTTGAGCATGCTAATCTTCATTCAATCCTCCCAAGACTGACCACCTGCTTCTAGGATCTTGGTGTTGAAGTCAGGGATGAATGTTGTAAGAGAAGTGTTCCTCTGTCAGATGCTCTGTAACCAATCTAATGCTTTCTGTTGCATGACAGTGTCTCAGAACAGGACATCAAGATGTTTCATGATATTGTCAGGCGTTCACAATGCTGGTTCGCATGCTTTCATCCATGAATGGAACTTCTGTTTCACGTGATCCTTCAATTGTCCATTGATATACCAACCTTGATTGATTAATGAACTGATGGAATCTCCATCTACACTCAGTTTCGCGAGCATTTCCATCCTTCATGATGAGTAGAGAGTGAGATCAGAAGCATTGAAATATGCAGAGGCATCTAAGCATTCTTTCAGTGCTTTTGTATTCAATTCTGTAGATGTTGGAATCGCGTGGGTTCCTTGTTGTGATAATCATTGGATCTCTTCATATTGATGTTGTTGAGTTGTATGCATATCAGCTATTTGTTGTTATTGTAGTTTCAACATTGCTCAGAGCCACTGTGGCACTGCATCTATGTTCATGTTCAAGGGTTCCATATTATTGTTAGACATGGTTATATCAATTGTTGAATGTATGATATCTGTGGGATCTGAAGAAGTGTAATTGTATTTTTATATGTCTGAGTGTCAGAACTCTCAGGTCTTTCACTGACATTCTCTTGTAAGATCTTATTCTCTTCATAAGATCTTGTTGCAGGGCCAGGGCGACTGGCGAGCAAGCTTCTATCTGAGGACTATCTGGGGACTCAGTGTCCACTTAACTGTTCAACTGTTTCTCTATTTCTTACGCGTTGTTATGCATTCAGATATCTCTTGATGGATAATCATTCCTAATAAGGAGACAATGAACATTTTTATAGTGTAAGGGGCCTGCACCGAATAGATCGGTATAATATTATAGGTCTTATATAACAAAGATAAAAACATTAGAGAAGGAAAGAAAGAGAAAGTGCGAGAATCAGTGATTGAGATGGATATTTATACGTGTATGTGGTGGTGTACATGGTGGAGCTTCAGGGCGGAAGAATATACGCGCGTTCATAGCGGCCGAGGATCAGTGATTGGGAATGGCTGAGAATCGGAGCGTACACTACGCGCGTTTGTAGCGGCCGCGGATCAGCGATCAGGAGTGGCCGAGAATCGGAGCGTACGCTACGCGCGTTCGTAGCGGCCGCAGATCGGCGATCGGGAATGGAAGAATCTATGGAGTGTAATGGAATAGTCTATATGATTGATCGGGCGCAGCCCGCCACACAGAGTATCTGACAGAGAAATATTTCTCTTACAATATTCATCTCTGACTTCAATATCAAGATCTTAGAAGCAGGTGATCAATCTTGAGAGAATTGAATAAAGATTAGCATGCTTAAGAAGATATTAACTTTTAAACTCTTACAGACTCTTATAAGTATAAATAAAGACTCAACTTATGAAGGCTTATGCACACAGCTCTGAACATTGAATCATTATCTTATCAAGCTCAAGAGTATACAGAACAGTGTTAGAAGATATTACATCTCAGTCACTTATACACTTGCACTGAAGAACAACAATGATACAGATATCATAAACTGAATAGATTCAAATATCTATACATAAGCAAGAGTTTTCACTGTTTGAACAGGCTTCTGAGTCTCTGAAATCACTTCTGAAGAAGTCACTGATCAATATCAACATAAAGTATGTATCAACTGTAACTGATCAGAACACATTGCTTTTAACTGCTGATTGATCTATGTGTCTTCTCAATCAAGAGAAAGATCAGTGTCTTCTCATTTGAAGAATGAATCAGCACCTGTTCATATCAAACACATTGCAGTGAAGAAAGATTCAGAAGATAACTACAAGAATACTCTGATGAAACAGAGAAAAGATTAGCTTCTATTCAAATTCACAAACAGAAGCTTGAAGAGGTCAGATGACAATGATTTAAAGAGAAAATGACAATGAATACAATTCTTATATCTACTGTGATTAATAATATGTATAATATGAAGATCATGATAGACAGCAGTGTATATCACTATGCAATGATTAAATCTTCAGTCATGAGACATTATAATCTTCAGTGTATTCTCTTATTAAAATCTCAACTTCTTGCAGAATTTGATGATTCAAAAGATATTTGCATCTGTTACATGATGAAACTAGACATAGATATCAGAGAACATTAGCATGAAGACATCTACACATATGAAGTTAATAATCTTGATTATAATCTTATATTAGAACTTGTCTGACTATCTGACCAAGGCATCTTATTGAACACTTAAAACAGGAGTTTAATATTCCCTAACAAAGATAGAGTTCACAAGAATGACATTCACAAGACTATGAACCTGACACAGATCTCTGCTAACACCTATAAAATGCTCAGAAAAAGAAGTTGCTGAAAGAATCACTGATAGCAGAATCATATATCAATCTATTCTATCAGTCTGACTGATATCAAAAAGACTCTAGAAAAGTTATTCTGTGTTACAATAACACATTCTCATACAATACTCTCTCAACAATATCATGAATATCTAGATATCTTTTAACAAGATAATAATGCTACAAATCTACCTCTCTTACAAGGTCCAGAAGTGAATCACAGTATCAAGTTGAAAAAGAAAAACAGTAAGAACTCTGAATCATCATGAGACTCTCTTTATAACATGTTGTGAGATGAACTTCTTCTTCTTCAAAAGACACTCAATGATCTGTTAAATAAAGAATTCATACATATTAGCAACTCTTTCACCGCAGCCTCTATTCTCTTTGCAAAGAAATCAGATGAAGAACTTCAGTTCTGCATGAATTATCAAGAATTGAACAGATTAACAAAGAAGAACTGTTATTCTTTATCTCTTATCAATGAAACTCTAGCTCATATTGAACAAGCTCAATAGTTTATAAAGTTAGATGTTATCACTGTGTTTCATAAGATTCATATTACTGAAGAAGATGAGTGACTTACAGCATTTCAAACATAATATAATCTCTTTGAATGAGTAGTCACACTCTTTGAACTGGCTAATACTCTCAGTATATTTCAGAAGTATATCAACTGAGCACTCTGAGATTTTCTTGATAAATTCATATCTGCATATCTTAATGACATTCTCATCTTCACTGATGAATTCAGAAAAGAATATCAAGAACATGTGTAAAAGATATTACAACAGCTACAAGAAGCAGAACTACTGATAGATATTGATAAGTGTGATTTTGAAGTTAAGAGTATCAAGTATCTGAGTTTCATTATAGAAGCTGATAAGAGAATTTGAATGAATTCTGAGAAAGTCTCTGTCATTCTTAAATGAGAAGCTTCACATACTGTGAAAGATGTATGAAGCTTCATCAGATTTGCTAACTTCTATCAGTAATTTATATAAAACTTCTCAGATATTATAAGATCACTTACAGATCTCACTAAGAAAGACTCAATAATCAGTGAATATCAAAGCTGTATTTACACAGATAAAGAAGATAGTCATTAATACCTCTCTACTGATAATATTCAATTCTGATCATGAGACAGTTGTTAAGATCAATTTCTCTGACTATATAATAGAAGAAGCAATATCATAATATGATGATGAAGATGTTCTACAATTATATATCTTCATGTCTAAGAAACTGAGTTCTGCTGAATGCAATTATGAGATCTATGATAAGAAACTTCTCACAATCATACACTATTTAGAAGAATGAAACTCTGAACTCTGAAGTGTCTCTGAATTTGAGATAATCACAGATTATAAGAATCTTAAATCCTTCATAACTATCTGTAAAGTCACTGAATAATAGATGTAATGATCTGAGTTCTTAAGCTGCTTTCATTTTATAATATACTATTATTCTAACAGTCAGAACTCAATGACAGATGCTCTCTTATAATAAGAGTAAGATATGTCATCTGATATAACAGATACTCACTGAATAAATCAAGAGCATCAGCTCTTGAACCTGAAGATACTAGTTAATCAAGATCGAATAACTTATGACACTATACATGCTTCTTCAATTAGAACACTCTCTCTTCAAACTGTCACTGATACTGATATCTCAACTTCTATCAAATCTACACTGAATGAATTATAGCATGCAACAGCTCAAACTGATGAACTTCTCTAAGCACTTATCAAAGCAGTATATCAAGAAGCATTCTGATTTCTCTCAGAATTATGTATAAGAACTGATATCTCAGAATATTCAATTAATGACAATAATGCTCTACAATTTCATAAATAACACTGAGTCTCTCACTCTAAACTCTTACACACTCAGATAATGCAAGAGATGCATGATTCATATATAACTGATTATTCAGATCATGAATAACTGTATAGAATAATCTTCTAAAAATTCTACTGATCTGAGATATTAAACAGCATCAGATGCTTCATTCAAAACTGCAATCACTGTTCTTCTATTATCTCATGAAAGAATCATAGAAAAGATCTATTGAGATCACTTAATATCTCTGATAGAATCTAGTGAGATGTAGTAATTAACTTTGCTATTAATCTATCTGAGAGTAAGAGTTGTAGAAACATTCTAATCATTATGAATTGATTAAGCAAAGATATAATATTGAAACCTTATGATAAGATAAATAATGAATAAGTCACTGAAGCTTTTCTACAGAGTCTGTTCTATTAAATGCATGAATTACTGAGATTTATAGTATTGAATCAGAGTCATTAATTTATAAGCACTCTCTGAATAAGAATCTGTCAAGTTCTCAAGATTATATATCATCTGTTAACTGCTTATTACTCTGAGACTGATAATACATCAGAACAGATAATTCAGATTATAAAGAATTATCTTTATAAGTTCTACAATTACTTATAAGATGATTGACATGATCTTCTTCTACATACAGAGATTACTATCAATGATTGAGATGCTGTTTCAACAGATGTAAGCCTGTTCTTTCTTATACATAATTATTATACAAAAGTATTAAATCTTCTAGAGATTACACAGTTCACACTGAACTCTTGCAGTCTGATTCAGATTGTCAATAATATAGTAATAAAGCTCTGAGATATCTGTGATTAAGCAGAGACCTTCATGACAACTGCAA